CGTGCTTTTACACTCTTTACTCACCATATAATCAATAAAATCGACATGGAATGGTGCATCGTGTGGCACGACATCACCCTTCGTGCTTTACACTCTTTCCTCACAATAGCAAACAATGCACGACATCACCTTTCGTGCTTTATCACTCTTCCTCACCCAAGCAACAATCACAAACAAGGGGCAAGGGAGTAGACAAATAATGATAGAAATCCCGGTAAGGGAATACAAATAAACAGCTAACTCCCGGCAAGGGAGCACAATTAAGTAGTTAAAAACCCGGCAAGGGAGCAATATCAATAATCTCAGCATCTCGGCAAGGGAGATAGTCAACAAAGCAACAAGCATCCCGGCAAGTGAGCAATTCAATAATTCTTTCTCTTTCTTTCACTTTTACCTCTTATCTCACTTTACCACCTGAGCCAACGCTCCAAAGGGGTTCAATCATTTCATATACTTTCACGCTTTGTGATATACTCGAGCCATTGCTCCAAGAATGTACAAATCATAATTCTTCCTCAAACTCTTCATATTGTATGAAATTTATCAATTTAACAAGGAAGAGGTATCACAAAATCTGAATAAACACAAATAAGACTCACGGTCATGCTAGACTCCGGTGTATAGATACTCGTCACCATGCCTATACACCGTACTCAACAATTAGCAAATAGCAAACAACACTCTAATCCTATTCCCTCAAGCCAAAGTTAGAACAAACACTTACCTCGGTCCAAAGAATAGCAATCAACCCTCAAATACCGCCTTTCCTTTATAATCCGACTCCGAAACAACGATATCTAGGCATAATTAATTCAATAATATCAATAAAGACTCGATAACAAAATCCCATAGCTTAGATATGAAGTTCCTAACATTCTTCCAAAAATACCAAAATTTGACCCCGGGCCCACATGGTCCAAACACGAGGCTCGGACCAAAACCCGATTACCCATAACCCCACGAGTTCAAATATGTATAATTTATTTTAAGGTCCGATCCCGAATTGAGGTTGAATCACTCAAAATTCCCAAAAACCTAACTCTACCCAAAAGCCCTAATTTCTACTTTGATTTCATGATTTAGGTTTAGAAACTCATTAATTAATGAAGGAAAATGAAGGAATTGAGTGGGAATTTACTTACCCAAGAAGCTTTGGTGAAGAAGTGCTCAAAAATTCGCTCAAGAGCTGTGGAGAAGAAGAACTCGTGTGAAATATGGACTAAACCTCGTCACTGTTCAGTTTTGGGTATTTAAAAATCGCTGGGCAAAAATGCCCTATGCAATCGCGAAGAAGGTAATGCGATTGCATAGGGTAAGGGGAAGCTGGTCATTGCGATCGCGGAAGGGCTAATGCGAACGCATAGAAAAAAAGCCTGTGCATTCCAGGTTTGAACTTAATGAAACGCGAACACGGATTAAAGGTTGCGTTCGCATTGAAGGATCTGGCTAAGCTATGCGATCGCGGATGAATCTATGCGATCACATAGAACAAATGTGGGCACCTGAAGGATTACTCTATGCGATCGCAATGCTACCAATGCGATCACATAGAACTAGATACCAGAACACCAGAACTGAAACTTCTGCAACTTTTCTAAGGCCAAAACCACTCCGAAACACTTCCAAAACACTCCCAAGCCCTCAGGGCTCCTAATCAAACACACACACTAACTCAACAACATCCTACGAACTTAACCATGCGATTAAATCGCCAAAATAACATCATAAACGATGAATCAAACCTCAAAATCATCACTTTTTCATCAAACTTCATAAACTTTCAAACTTAGAGTTTTAGGTCCAAAACACGTCAAATGACGTCCGATTTCAACCAAATTTCACAGGAAGCGCTTAAACCACATATAAGACCTGTACCGGGCGCCGAAACTAAAATACGGGCCCGATACCAACGCTTTCTAATCCATTTTCATTTCAAATTTCCAAATAAATTTCAGAAAAACAATTTCTTTTAAAAATTCATTTCTCGGGCTCGGGACCTCGGATTTCGATTTCGGGTATACGCCCGAGTCCCATATTTTTCTACGGATCCTCCGGGACCGTCAAATCATGGGTCCGGGTCCGTTTACCCAAAATGTTGACCAAAGTCAACTTTAACCATTTTAAAGCCATTATCAAATTTCACATAATTTAACACATAAGCTTTTCCGGTTACGCGCCCGGACTGCGCACGCAAATCGAAGCAATTAAAGGTGAGGTTTTCAAGGCTTCGGAAGCACGGAAAAAGGGAGAAAACCGGTGATGACCCTTTGGGTCGTCACATCTTTTCCTTCCTTCGATTGCAATCTTCTACTAGCATCGGTTACTCTATCCACAAGCTTGAACATAAGTGAAAAAATCATCTACGTAGTATTTTTGCCTCTAATAGGTTTTGAACCTTAAACATCATGATTTTTAATCAACTTCATTAACCACTAGATCATACCCTATTGTACATTATTAGATTGTTATAGTGACTTCTTTGATCATTTCGAATTTTATGGATTTAAAAGGCATTGTAGGCCAGCACTTAGTATTAACACTGATTTTAAAGAGTAGCCCACAACTTGTTCTGCATTTTAATGCTACAACTGTGCAACATTAACAAAAATTGTCCTACTGCAACTTAGGCTCGACTCGACACTTAATATTTCTCTTTATGACCTAATAAATTCGTAACGTCCCTATATTAAGAGGAATAGTCTTTCTTTTTAAAAAAACTAACGGGGGTTTAGTTATAGTATTCTTTTCCATTATTCATAAAACAAAATCTAGTCTAGTATTAGAATGAAATGGACTTAGTTAAATTAAATTAAATAACAACGAAGTTGAGGCATAATTGCTCTTCCAAAATACAAGAGATGCCAATGAAAACAAGAAAAAAAAATTACATTGCTAATTGGTGTTTAGTAATATGAGGACGTAACTAAAATAAGATTTTCTATTTTACCGGAGAATTGATTCAAATGATGAAGCCAAATTTCCTCTCATTTTCCAGTGGAGTGATCATTAGTGACCTTTTATTTCTCCTAATTGCTCAAACACAACGTCTATCTTTGCTTTACTAATCATTCAAACTTTCCCATTTTGTACAATACATCATATTTTTTAACGGGTTGTTAGGATCGAAAAAATCAGGTAACATGTGAAAGCTAGTAAAGCAGTACTTAAATGACAATAAATCAGATAACAGAGGAGAAAGGTTCCAAAAGAGATACAAACATTTAATGTGGTTCGGTTAATTGACCTACGTCCGCGGCAGAAATGAGCAATCTATTATATAAAAGAGAGTATAAAATATCGAGAGAACAACTTCACAAAGAGGCAAACACAAGTGGCATACTAGCACTTGTCCCGAATAATTCTCTCCCTAAACAAGACTCTCAAACTCCATATGACTACATTATGGATGCTATTGAATGAGAAGAAAGGATCCTTAATTTATAGAAGTCAAAACTTTTTTCTCCAAGAAAAAAGACTAGCCAAATATGAAAGAATTGTATTTTCTTTTTTGTAAAAGGTATGGTAAATATGTTGTCCTTCCTTCAAAGAATAAAAAATCAAATATGGTAAGAAAATAGTAACAAAGAGAACCTGTAACCACTACGATTTAGGTATGTACAGGGTAAACACTGCTCCTGTTTAATAGCCGACAAACCATACATAAGGGTAAATCGTATTAGGCAAGCGCCATTCGACGGGTTCGGTCGAGAAAGTATGCAGGTAGGTTCCAAACCCCAAATCTCCAATTTGAAAAGCCCCTGCTCAACCAACTCGATTATCCCCAAAGGGTGTACAATACATTTGTTACTACCATTATTACTCTCTGAAACTGTTATATCAAGCATCACATAAATTACCTCCTAGTTATCAGTTTTTTCCTTTAAGGTACTTTTCTCTACGAAGCTTCCACTTCTTGTTTGCTTGCTCAACATCGTCATATCTTGACTTACAGACACGTTTTCATCCCCAACCACATAACCCCACCTACTCATACCCTATTTTTTTTTCTTCCTATTTTTCATAGCAATAGTAATTCGAGCCATTTTATGCACTTCAAACTAATACTCTATCAAATTAAATACTTGCTAATTCTTACCAAAATATATGTATCGTGCAACTCTGTCCGTTAAAACTTAAGTAAACGAATCCTAATGATTTCTTTGCCTCAAATATTCATTCACTTTATTGTCCTTTTGGCGACATCTTGGGTGGCCTTGTCATCAGGGGCGTAGGCACCTTTCTTGAAATGGTGTCATGTAAAACTGTTGCGTCGATTTATTTTTATAATCTGTATGTATAAATAATAAATAAAATTAAAATATTGAGTATAAATATAAAAATGACATCGCTTGTTGTTACAGTAATCTATTTATTTAATCATTTCTTTGAAAGAAAATTTCTGCATACGCCACGACTTGTCAATTGTCATGCCTTATATGCTTGATATAATAATCTTGATTTTTTAATATTCTCTCTCTCTTTCCCGTTTTATTTCCATATTGAAAACTCTAGTATATTATCAACTTATCGTATTTCAAAAAATTTTGACGTACAAGATGAAAGAGGAACAAACATTGCACTCCACAATAAATATGGTAAGGTAAGGTGTTTAAATACAGGCGAAATATGCGTTTGTGCTATAATTGAACGCTTGACGTTTCAAATTCCCCCCATAATAACAGTTCTCTTTACCTTAAATACGTACCAAATTTTTAGGCAAATTTTCCACATTTGACTGACTCATTAGATGAGACCAAAAAATAAATCAATACTAGTAAGAGAGAGAAGCAAAAATAATTTGTTACTCCTATTATTGTTAATGAATTTTTTTACGGTTGATATTCCTAACAACTTGTGCTATTTTTATTCTTGTTGTTAATTATTTTTAGTTACTCCATTTTCAACCTTTGTTACCTATTTTCATGTTACATGTTCTTCTCTTCTTGTCTTAAAATCTTTTGCTTGAAGAAACATTGGTATGTTCAACGTTTTTTTCACCTTTTTTAAATTAGAAATAATAAAAAAAAATAATATTTTTGACATTCTTGATTGGTGAAGAAGAGAGGATTAGAAGAAGAAAATGGCATCTTCTCAAGTAGAAATTGCCTCCTCTTCTCCATTGGGTTATGTCCTTAATAGATGTATTGCTAGAGATTCAAATTCTTTTCAAGAAAATTTCAAGAATTTGGTCCAAAACCATGCAGATTTATGGGTACACAAAACAAAATGTGACAAGAATGAGAATAATAGTCCAAAGAAGAGAAGTAAAGCTGCTGAAAAATGGGATAAAGCTAGAAATATGGTATTTTCAATGGACAAAGAGAAGAATAAAGAAAGTTGTGTTGATGTTCCAAATCTTGGTGGTGTTTCTTCCCTTGTGAGAAAATGGAAAATTTTTGAAGCTGAGTCAAAAACCATGAATTTGGCCAACAATTCTGAGAATTCTTTATATGTAGAATCCCCACATAAAAGATTTGATGAATGTGATGAATCTTGCATTGTGAAAAGTGATTCATTTGGTGGCTGGGAATCCGATAAAACGGATAACATTGATTTAAATTCTGTTCAGGGTACTAAAGATTCTGATATTACAGAAAGTGAGAGGCTGAGAGTTTCAGATATTATCAAGAAATTGACATATAGTAATGGCGATGAAGGTCAGCCACGCGACTATAATGGTAATGTTGTTGTAAATGGTGGATCGTTGCCTCGAGTTAGGACAACATTGGATGGTTCAGAACAACAACAAAGATGTTATTTTTCACCTGTTGTGAATTCACCTCGTTTCATCAGAGGGAGACAGGCGTTTAGTGATTTGCTCTTGCAAATGGAGCGCGATAGACATAGGGAGATTCAAAGTCTTGTGGAACGTAAAGCAGTTTCCAAGTTCCAACAAAGAGGCCGCATTCAGGTTCATTGCATTGTATTGTATTGTATTGTTTTGTTGAAGTAATGTTTGGATATACAGTATTTGTTTTTGTTTAATAACAATTTCCTTATTTAGGTTTGACTGTATTGTATTGTACTGTATCGTATTGTACAAGTTTGCAGGACTTACTATTTGAGGGTACTGATTAATCTTTATAACTCAACATCTTAACTAGGCTTTGCTTCGAGTTAGACTAATACGACGTGGTGCAGAAGTCAGAGATGGCCGATCAATGAATTGCTCAGCGTCTGAATCAAATAGATTGACACATTCTGCAATTATGCATCTCAGGTGACACTTTCTGCAATTTGTTTTTGACTCTTTTACTTCCATTTGTGGCTGCTAAAAGACCTGTCTTTTATTTTTCAAAGAATGTATCAAAGTTGTAAAGAAATCATAACAAGTTTTTGTGCCTAGATCTGCATATCAGCTTCTTTATTAAGCTTGTTTCCCTTTTCATTACTATTAAGGGGTCATTTGGTATGATGGATAAGCAAAAATAATCCCGGGCTTAAAATTTAGTACCGCTTTATCCTTTGTTTCTGATCCTGGGATAAGTTATCCTAGGATTAAAAATAGTACCAGGATAATTTATACCTGCCGCAGAGTAGAATAGTAATTCCACAATAAAGCACTAAAGTTCACAATCGCAGGATTAATACATCATATCAAACAGTCAATAAGAAATAATACCAGGATGACTAATATTTGTTATGAGTTGTGTCAGTTGAAAGAACTAAGTTATGCTTTTGTTAGTAACAAAGTTCTGATCATTTCTAATGTATATTGCTATTTAGTACAATATGCACCTAACCATAATGTTAATCCATTTCAGGGAAAAGTTCAATACAGTAGGACAACATCGTCTTGCTGACTCAAGAAACAACTCAAGGGAAGTGGTAGAAAGTGCTCGTGAAGTTGGAAGCCTCCCGTCTACACCAAAACATCGAAGGGAACTGGCTCGTAGCAACTCTGCAAAAGCAGGAACTGGATTTTCAACACATCAACATAGAGAAGAGGATCCGCCTAAGGAACTGGTCAAGGAGAGTTCAGGACTGCAGCCCGGTGTAGCTAACTCAAGAAGTGTCCCTATAACATTAGGAGATACAACTAAAGAGGTGGTAGATAACATCCTAAAAGTTGGAAATTTTTGTACATCCAATCAACCACGCGAAGAGAACCATCACAAGGAATTATCCAAGCAAACAAGCCCCAAAAAGATGGCAGTATTTTCTTGTAGATCGAATCAACATGATATGGACCTTAACAGTCGAGAAGTTAGCATCAGCTTACCGAGCTATACTTCACAAGCACAAAGCACAGACAATTTCCATGAACTGCAAATAAAGCAGAATCTAGGAACTAGTAATGAGTGGTCTAGTGATGGCGCTAATCCTCAGAGCGATTGGGAAGAGGAAACCGCGAGCCAACACCTAGTTGAATGTGATAGTGGTTGGGTAAGTGATTATTCCCACACAGCTAGTGGATGGGATGAAATACAGTCTGCTTACCAGCAACAAGTAGAAGGTAATGAAGACTGGATAAGCAATGTCTCTCGTCCACGTAAAGAATGGGAAGGCCTCAGGCACGAAAGATACCAAGAGATGCTTGATCGATTCTTAGACAACCATGATATACAACAACTTCTTCAAAGGTATTAGCAACTCCTTCACTTTAACAGTTATACTAACCCTATAAATTTTTCATCATTTAGTTTTACTTGGTAATCATCCATGTTTGAAAAATATACTTTGCCTGGCCCATGAACATCGCAGAGAATGTTAAAGGCTTGAGGCAGTTTTAAAGATGAAAGAATCAGAAAATGAAGGCAATGGCAAAGTAAACTTCTTAAAGCATCTATATTTTCAATTAGAAACACTGAGAACAGGACTTGAACGCCAACTTTATCTGTTTTTTCCTACTCAACACGGCGACTTTAAAAGACTTATTTGATTTGAGATGTGAATCAACTACATATGTTTCTAAAAGTTCGAAATATTCTGCTCCTATATTTTAATAAACAGTCCTGCTTGCCTTATGCATCTATCTCCTTACCTATGTTGAATTATGTCAAATTTCCATCCCACATCGGTGGGTTATGGAGTTGTGGGAAACTTTTCCCCTGTAAAAGAAGGCTTAATGTTTATGATTTAAACACACCTCTCATTTGCCTTCTCATCTGTTTAAGGCATTTGTATCTTCTCTCTTTAGTATTATTTCACTTGTATTTTTGGAGTGAAATAAAATATTGGTTGTGTCCGAGGAGTAGGCAAAATTAGCCGAACCTCGTAAATTCTGGTGTTCCCTTTATTGTTGCTTTATTGTCTTATTTATTATTTGGTGGCTGTCATAATTTTTGGTATAGTAGTTGTGACTTATTCACACTATATACATTTGGCTTCCGCAACAATTGGTATCAGAGCCAAGGTACTGTCTAAGTATGCTCTGTGGTTGCAGCATAGTCTGATCTTCCACATCAGAAAAGATTTATCTTGGTAACTGAGTCAAGGTTCTGTCTGAGTATGCTCTGTGGTTGCAGCTTAGTCTGATCTTCTACATCAGAAAGGAAATAATCTTGATTTGTGTCGTCAGCTATTAAATAATATTTGTGTCAAATATGGGAGACAATAAACAAGAAGAATCTACATCAAGTGTCAACAATACGTCATCATTGGCATCTTCGCTTATGACAAGAATTGTGTCAAATGCGAAATTTGCGGTAGAAATATTTGACGGGTCCGGACATTTTGGGATGTGGCAAGGCGAGGTTCTAGATGTCCTTTTTCAACAAGGGCTAGATCTGGCCATTGAAGAAAAGAAACCAGATGTTATTGGAGAAGAAGATTGGAGAATTATCAACCGTGTTGCTTGCGGTACCATTCGATCCTACCTTGCTAGAGAGCAGAAATATCCATACACAAAGGAAACTTCTGCAAGTAAATTATGGAAAGCACTGGAGGATAAATTTTTGAAGAAAAACAGTCAAAATAAATTGTACATGAAGAAGAGACTGTTTCACTTCACCTATGTTCCTGGTACCACGATGAATGAACATATCACCAGTTTCAATAAGTTGGTCACAGATTTGCAAAATATGGATACAACTTATGATGATGGTGACTTGGCCTTAATGTTGTTGGCGTCACTTCCTGATGAGTACGAGCACCTTGAAACTACTCTACTCCATGGAAATGACGAAATTTCTCTCAGAGAAGTTTGTTCGGCTTTGTACAGCTATGAACAAAGAAAGCGAGAAAAACAGAAGGGCGGAGAAGGAGAAGCACTATTTGTGAGGGGTCGTCCTCAAAATCAAACGAGGACAAAGAAGGGAAGATCCAAGTCAAGATCCAGACCCAGCAAAGATGAATGTGCCTTTTGTCGAGAAAAAGGGCACTGGAAGAAAGACTGTCCGAAGTTGAAGAATAAGGCCAAACATAACAATGGAAAGGCCATTATGGATTCAAATGTAGCTGATTGTGATGATTCAGACTTCTCATTAGTTACAACAGAGTCATCAACATCATCAGACATATGGTTGATGGACTCGGCTTGTAGCTATCATATGTGTCCCAACAGGGACTGGTTCGTGGAATTTCAAGAAGGAGAATATGGAGTCATCCACACAGCGGATAACAGCCCTCTTACCTCATATGGCATTGGTTCAATACGATTAAGGAACCATGATGGAATGATCAGAACATTGATAGATGTTCGATATGTACCGGATTTGAAGAAGAATCTCATCTCTGTGGGAGCCCTAGAATCAAAAGGGTTCAAAATCATTGCAGAAAATGGAGTGATGAGAGTATGCTCCGGTGCACTAGTGGTAATGAAGGCTAATCGGAAGAATAATAATATGTACCGCTATCGTGGCAGTACAGTTATTGGGACAGCGACAGTAACATCCAGTGACGACAAAGAGGCAGAAGCAACCAAGCTATGGCACATGCGCTTGGGACATGCTGGAGGAAAATCCTTGAAAACTCTATCAGATCAAGGATTGTTAAAAGGAGTAAAGGCTTGCAACTTGGAGTTTTGTGAGCATTGTGTTAAAGGGAAACAGACAAGGGTTAAATTTGGTACAGCGATCCATAATACTAAAGGCATTTTGGATTATGTACACTCTGATGTTTGGGGTCCTTCCAAAACACCTTCATTGGGTGGGAAGCACTATTTTGTAACCTTTGTTGATGATTTTTCTCGAAGAGTGTGGGTGTATACAATGAAAAACAAAGATGAAGTGCTGGGAATTTTTCTCAAATGGAAGACGATGGTGGAGAATCAAACAGGCAGGAGGATCAAGTGTATTCGCACAGACAATGGAGGTGAATACAAAAATGATCATTTCAATAAGGTCTGTGAAAATGATGGCATCGTCCGACACTTCACTGTTAGACATACACCACAACAGAATGGAGTGGCAGAACGTATGAACCGGACCTTGCTGGAGAAGGTACGGTGTATGTTGTCCAATGCTGGCTTGGGCAAAGAATTTTGGGCTGAGGCAATTACATATGCATGCCACCTCATTAATCGTCTACCATCTGCTGCTATTGATGGCAAAACACCATTTGAAAAATGGTACGGAAAACCTGCTGTAGATTATAACTCTTTGCACGTGTTTGGCTCAACTGCATATTATCATGTGACGGAGTCAAAATTGGATCCAAGGGCAAAGAAGGCTATTTTTATGGGAATTACTTCTGGAGTCAAAGGATATCGCTTATGGTGTCCTATGACAAAGAAAGTAATATTCAGCAGAGATGTTACCTTTGATGAATTTGCTATGGTAAATAAGGTAACAGAAGATACCAAACAAAATGAAGGTGCTTCTAAGCAGGTGGAGTTTGAGGGAAAATTTATTTTTCCTACACAAGAAGCAGAGGAGGAAACAAATGAAGATTACCCTCTGGAAGGAGAGCCAGTAGAGGAGATTCCAACTCAGGAATCTCAACAACAACTTGAATCAATAGCAACCAGCAGGCCAAAAAGAACAATAACGAAACCTGTTCGTCTCATAGAGACGGTTGCTTGTGCAACCTCAATTGTAGCTGATGATGTTCCTACTACTTATAAAGACGCTGTCCAAAGTTCAGAAGAAGATAAGTGGAGGATTGCCATGAATGATGAAATACAGTCCCTTCATCAGAATCATACATGGAGATTGGCCAATCTCCCGAAGGGAAAGAAAGCAATTGGGTGCAAATGGGTATTTGCAAAGAAGGAAGGATTTCCTAACCAAGTAGATGTTCGCTACAAAGCAAGATTGGTGGCCAAAGGATATGCTCAAAAGGAGGGAATTGATTACAATGAAGTGTTTTCTCCAGTTGTAAAACATTCCTCCATTAGAATTATGTTGGCTTTGGTAGCACAATTGGATTTGGAACTAGTTCAGATGGATGTAAAAACTGCGTTTTTACATGGAAACTTGGAGGAGGAAATCTACATGACTCAGCCAGAAGGATTCAAAGTTGCTGGAAAAGAAAATATGGTGTGCAAACTTGAAAAATCGTTGTACGGATTGAAACAATCTTCTAGACAATGGTACAAGCGATTTGACGAGTTTATGTTGCGGCAAGGGTACAAGAGAAGCAAATACGATCATTGTGTGTATTTGCACAAGCTTAAAGATGGTTCCTTTGTATATCTTCTCCTATATGTTGATGATATGTTGATAGCTTCCAAGAATTCGGAAGAAATTGATAAGTTGAAGATTCAACTGAAGAAGGAGTTCGAGATGAAGGATTTGGGTGAGGCAAAGAAAATTCTTGGCATGGAGATAATTAGAGATAGACGTTCAAAGAAACTCTGTTTATCTCAAAAGGAATATTTGAAGAGAGTACTTCAACGTTTTGGCATAGATGACAAGACTAAGCCAGTTAGTACTCCACTTGCTTCCCATTTTAAGCTAAGTACTACTATGTCGCCAATGGATGAAGCTGAACGAGAGTATATGTCAAAGGTACCATACGCAAATGCTGTTGGTAGCTTGATGTATGCAATGGTTTGCACAAGGCCTGACATTTCACAAGCTGTTGGAGTTATTAGCAGATATATGCACAATCCAGGGAAGGAGCATTGGCAAGCTGTGAAGTGGATTCTACGGTATATTCATAATACTGTAGATGTCGGGTTAGTTTTTGAGCAGGAAGACAATCAGTCTGTAGTTGGATATTGTGACTCAGATTTTGCGGGTGATATGGACAAACGAAGATCAACTACTGGTTATGTGTTTACTTTTGCAAAGGCACCAGTTAGTTGGAAGTCTACTTTGCAGTCAACAGTTGCTTTGTCTACAACAGAGGCAGAGTACATGGCTATTACAGATGCTGTGAAAGAGGCAATTTGGCTTCAAGGATTGCTAAAGGAGCTTGGTGTTGAACAAAAAGGTATCACAATTTTTTGTGATAGTCAAAGTGCTATTCAATTAGCGAAGAACCAAGTTTATCATGCAAGGACGAAGCACATTGATGTTCGGTATCATTTCGTACGAGAAATCATAGAAGAAGGTGGAGTCACGGTGAAGAAAATTCATACTACAGAGAATCCTGCTGATATGCTGACAAAGGTGGTGACTGCGGTCAAGTTTCAACATTGTTTGGATTTGATCAACATTGTTGAACACTGAAGATTGAAGATGAAGACACAACCAAAATTTGTTATTGAGAGAGAATTGAAAATGTGGAATTTTGCCAAGGTGGAGATTTGTTGAATTATGTCAAATTTCCATCCCACATCGGTGGGTTATGGAGTTGGTGGGAAACTTTTCCCCTATAAAAGAAGGCTTAATGTTTATGATTTAAACACACCTCTCATTTGCCTTCTCATCTGTTTAAGGCATTTGTATCTTCTCTCTTTAGTATTATTTCACTTGTATTTTTGGAGTGGAATAAAATATTGGTTGTGTCTGAGGAGTAGGCAAAATTAGCCGAACCTCGTAAATTCTGGTGTTCCCTTTATTGTTGCTTTGTTGTCTTATTTATTATTTGGTGGCTGTCATAAATTTTGGTATAGTAGTTGTGACTTATTCACACTCTATACATTTGGCTTCTGCAACAACCTACTCCTATGCAGTGTTGTCAAAGGCTCATTTAAGGTGTGCTTAAAAGATCAGGGAGGGCGCTTGGCCTCGCTTAAGCCGCGCTTCGTTATAAGAAAGGCACTAAGAGGCGCGCCTCATTGCCCATGTACCATATTTTAAACCGGTCGGTATTAAACAACAAATACAATTGACAAATAAGCTATGTTGCGGAGACTCTCCAAAATGTTGCCGCACCCGTGTCGGATCCTCCAAAAATACACTACTTTTGGAGGATCCGACACGCACCAGGCGACATTTACGGAGAGTCTAAGCAACATCGAAAATACGTGCATTAGTTGTTAAGAAAAACATTATGAATGAAATTGTTACTCTTTTCTTGAATTACATATGTTTTTTAACCCTTCGTTGCGCTTTTTCTTACTAAAGCTCACGCCTAAATTTTTCTTTTCGCTTAAAGCCCCAATAGACATGGAGCGGTTTTTAGAGCTTTTCGCCTTTGAAACACCGCTCCTATGATATTCATCACTCAACTTTTGAAATTGAAGCATAGTCCATGACTTGCACTTTGACTTTGATTTTCTTATTTGTGCAGAAAAAGTGTTTCAAATTTTCTTACCAGTGATTTGAGGGAGAAAATTGATCGAATAATGGCGTCTCGCTCACAACAACTACCAAATGCCATGAGAATCAGCCATGTTGAGGAAGAAGAAGTACCAACACAAGTAGATGAAGAAGAGAAAGAGGAAGACGACATGGTATTACGACATAATGCAAGAGAAGAGGATGTTGAGGTAGAAGAAGAACAAGACTCGGGTTATGACGATGAAGATGAAGTATTAATTGATGACAACACATCATCATGAAGCCTAAATCAAGTCCAGGAAGTAACTGATGACTCTTATCACTTCCCATCTCCTTCACTACAATCTCAATCATCTAGTATTTGCTCGCAACACATTAAACCGTGCTCTTCTTCTTCAAGAAATTCTTCAACTGTGAGTTGTCTATCCTTGGGCTGACGTGCCTGATATAATTTGTAAATTGGGAATAGAACTAATGACATGTGCATTAACAGGAAATGGAACTCATATATGAATTGAGAGGACATATGGAGAAACTCCATCAAGAGATATTTGAAATACGGAGATCTATGAAGAGTTGCATGAACATGCAAATGAAATTACAACGTTCGATTAAGCAGGATGTTGCTGCTGCAATTAGCCAGTTAGGTGAGCTGGAACACAAATATCTGAATATGAAATATACCAAAATTCCTGAAATTTGTATTTTGAATTAGTAAACCCTTTATAACAAACTACAAGAAAAGCTTGAATGGGAAAACTACCAAAATCCCTGAAGCTTAACCTCCTGAACTATATGTTGCATCAAATCATGGATTTCTGATTCTTTGTGTATTAGTTGACATAAGGGGAGCCTTGAAGCAATGATAAAGTTGTCTTTGTGTGACCTATAGGTCACGGGGTTCGAGCCGTGGAAGCAGCCAGTAATGCTTGCATTAGGGTAGGCCGTCTATATTACACCCCTAGGGGTACGGCCCTTCCCGGACAGCGTGAACGCCGGATGCCTTGTGCACCGCGTTGCCCTGCCTGTGTATTAGTTAACAAAATCACCACAAGATTTGGCTTTACATCTCAACTTGATACATGTGACCTTTTTCCTACCTTTTCTATTTTCCATTTGTGCTTTGATTGACTTACATTTTTGTAATGCAGGTCAAAAGAGCAGGAGGAATTCAGATAATAAGGGTTCAAATAGAGGAAATTGTTGTCTTTGCTGTGAGGAGCCTATTGATTCTCTTCTTTACAGGTACTTGTATGTGGATATCAGTTTAACTGCGCTAAGTAGGGAGCGACAAGCTAAGTATAATAGAAATAAATATATAGAACTAATCATGTCCATAATTTTGTTCATGGTTTTCAGATGTGGGCATATGTGCACCTGTTTCAAGTGTGCTCATGATTTGCTTAGGGGTACAGGAAAATGTCCAATATGCCGAGATCCAATAATGGATGTTGTGCGTGCATATGCTCATTCATGACTTACGAGTGAAGACAACAACATTAACCTGCCTCAATCCTAAGTAAGTTGGAGTCAGCTACATGAATCACCACTATTCATGTCGCTCCATTCAAGGTCATCCCAGCCCAACACATACATTATGTAACACGTGACTAGATGAGCACGTCCAATGTATTATGTTGAGGAACAATCATATATTGACTAGTTTATGATGATTGTCAACCTACTGCACCCTTTCATTTGTCCAGATGCGGGACGGGCAATATGAGCAAGCTCAAGACGGAGTGTTCTAGGCTGCTCGACACTTTTTTTGTGGAAGGATGAGAAAAAGGGTGATTTTATTTTACTTTCTTTTATTTTTTCTTCTTAGGTAGGGCTCTTTTCTGGCTAATTTACTATAACCAGATTTAGATTGATTGATGAGTCAGTCTACACCGGTTCCATTAATCATCCTTTGTATAGGACAGGAAAAAGGAAATGAAGTTCCTTATGTGATAATAGAGATGTGTCTTTCATGTTTCTTTATACAGTTAAACCTCTCTATAACAGCCTCGTTTGTTACAAATATTTTTGGATGTTATAGCGAAGTGCTGTTATATAGAGCATATATTATAACATAACATGAAAATTGGTTCTGGAAATGCTTGCTTCTATAGTGAAGTGTTGTTATAGAGAGGTGTGATTGTATATGTATTTGCAATGCTTAAAGCCACTTGCAGCGCAAACAATCTCCAACAAGACTAGCACATTGTAACTACGTATGGTGCTGCGGATGTTCTCCAAAGCACTCGTCAACCTGTGGAAATCCAAAGTTAGATTAGAGATCTTGATTGCTTAATTTTTGGGACTGGTTTGTACAGCTAAACTTGTAAAGAAAATCTTAGTAATCAAGAATCAGGACAAGGCAAAAAAAAGCTACAACTCAAATGGATTACCCTTTGTTTTCCTCTAGTCAGATTCTTTATGTGAATGCATATCTTTTACTTTTCCAACAACTCACCTTTCAGACAGTCGCGGAGCCAGGAATTCTATAACTAGACGATCCAATAAATTTCTGAGATAGCTTTGCCACTATGGCTGAACGATGATGATTCAGTAGCACGAGCCCTGACTTCAGACATTGCCTCCCCCCCCCCCCCCCCCGGGCAGAATTCTGATATGATATCCCCTATTTGAAGACAATACTGGTATCACCCGAGTGATGATTTATTATTCAGATATGCATTTGCCACTGCTATTTTAAGAACAATGAGTAAACATGGTATCTAGAAAATTCACTTGAATTGACAATTACACAAATTAAATAGGAAATAGTCACTTAAATGACTTTTTACTACGTATCTAAAGAGCAGTATAGAATGTATTCTAAGTACGGACTGTAATGGTTTAATGAAGTTGGTATTTCGCAGTTGTATTTCACGAGGACTTATGAAATCCTTGTTAAAAGTTTCAGGAAAATAACGGCCAAGCTTTTAGCAGTCATGTATGGGTCAAAATCCACCTTTAGTTGATATGGTATTAGTAAAACTTTCCTGGAATGCCACGTGTTGAAGTAATCTAATTAACAACAAGGTCGTGGTTGAAGAGTCAGCAAGGGTTGAGGCGGAAGAGTCATCAAGGATCAAGGCCAAGGTTGAGTACCCTAGACAGAATTATAACGACTAGTTTCAAAATAAGGCATAAAAGAGAATATTCTAATGGATATTCCCTGCACTTGTACTGTTAGGGTTTTTAAGAACATATTCCCTATAAATAGAAAGAGACACAATGATATGGGACATGTGATATTGATTTGTAAAATACACTTTGACTCTAGTTAGAGAATTGGATCTTATTGCAAACATACAAACGTGACCTTTTCACTAAGATTCTTGACGACACGTTTCCACTGGATCCGAGAATAACTCAGATATTCAAAGGATTATCCCCCATTCATCATTGTCAGAAAGAACATTCACTGGTTCCATTCTTTCTTGGGTGACTCATTTATTATATTTACTTGAATGTCATTTATTGCTGTTCATCAATATTAATGCTACATTATTTCCTTTGACTTCTTAAATATTGTTGTGTGCTGCCGCTGCCATTAAAGTAAACTATTCCTACGAAGTATTTATTGCACGCAAGTCACCAACATAAAAAAAAACCCGAGATCTCCTTTCTTTGTACGTACAAAACTCTACATGGCATGTAACCAAAGAGAAAGGAAAGAAATAACAAGTGATTTCCCTAACAACCTCATGAATGTTATCAACGAAAGCTGCGAAATAGTAGGCGAGGACGTGACAACTAACGCGTCCCCTAGGCGCGAGAGGTTGCCTCCCCCACATTACAGCATAACGAAACCCAGCAGAAAAGGGGCCTCCACATCCGCAGAAGAAGGGACGCCCCAGCTGTGCAAAAATTCCTTGAAGCATGGCTGACTGACACGCTAGTGAGCATCCTCAACAAATCTGCTCCAGGCATGACTGCAGAAACAACAAGATCTTGCATAATACAACAAATAAACGAGTAGTGCAACCGACCAAACCCTCCGGCGACAGGTATAACTCACAATATTACTAACAGTTCAGGTGAAAGCACCCTCATTGTCGTTCTAAAGAGAATGGAGGAAATGGAGCATGAAAGAATCCATAAACGAGTCGACAAGATACCAGATGCTCCTAAGCTGTTGCCAAAAAGGGACGCCGGTAGGTTCATAGAGCAGCCGTATAGTGATGATGCAGCCCCGCACGCCATACCAAAAACCTTTAAAATGCCGCCCTACCTCAAGATGTATGAGGATCATGTGACTAATTACGTCATCGTCATGAAAGGCAACGACCTCGCCAAGGAACAAGTATCCTCCATTTTGCTGAAGACGTTTGGTGAAACCCTTACGGGAGGAAAATTAACATGGTACTCACACCTACCAGCTCGCTCTATAGAAAATTTCGAGGAAATGACCGATAAGTTTGTAACAGCCCATGCCAGAGCCAAGAAGGATGAAGCAAGATTAAACAACATATTCTCTATCAAGCAGTCCTTGGGAGAGAGGCTAAGGGACTTCCTCGCCTGGTTCAATAGAGCAAGGATGACTCTGCCGAACGTATCCGAAGGGATAGCGGTCGCAGCTTTCCAGAACGAGTTGAGCAGAGATGGTTCAAGAGCGACTAGAAAACTATTGAGCAGATTGATAAAATATCCTCCAACCACTTGGAACAAAATCCATAATGCTTATTGTGCCAAGGTCTGAGCAGACGAAGAAGACCTCCACGGACCGACTTATCGGCTAACTTCGGTACAAACTGAATCCAGAAAAGAATGAAAAGACAACACCAGGTTGGATTACCCGGTTCCACGACCCAATAGGGAACGACACCAACTATACGTCAAGGTGGCCACCATGCCTCCCCCCTCCATGAAGAAGGTCCATCCCGGCCAAGGACTGGGACTCACTGGAACGAAAGAGGTATGCCCCCTTTATTATCTACTCATAATTTTTGTGTGTCACCTATAGAAATAGTCTACGATCTTGAGAAACTCTAAACAAAGGTGAAGTGGCTGCGAAGATGAGATCAGACCCGAACACCAGAAAATCCGACGCCCTCTGTGAGTTCCACTAGGAACATGGGCACAAAACTGAAGATTGCATCGCCCTCAAACAAGAAGTTGTAAACATGCTGCGGCAGGCACACCTCAAAGAGCTGTTAAACGACAAAGGGAGAACCAATTTTGCCAGAGAACGTGAACACCAAGGCCCGATGAAGCCACCATCACCAGCTCATACTATCAACGTGATCATCAGCAGTGGCGATGATGCTCTATCAAAGGCGTAAAATTTACCACCACTCACAAGCTCAAGTGGTATATCACATGCAAATGGCACGACAGACTCGAAGAGAGTACCATATTCGATTAGTCAGATTCCAACGATTTGACTTTTCCTCATAATGATGCCCTCATTATTACTTTATGCATTTTAGATACCGATGTAAAACACATCGTGGTGGACGATGGAAGTGGTGCGTGCATTATCCATCCTTGAGTCCTCACCCAAATGAGACTCAAGGACAAGATATTGTTGCACTGCATCACGCTAACCGGCTTTAATAATGTAGTTGAACTGACGTCTTGGGAATTACACTCCTCATTTTGGCCGGCGGCGTAACTCTGGGGACGACATTTCACATCATGGACCAGGCCCTCGATCGCGATTTAACTAAAGGTTAGGTTCGTCCAAGCTCGAACAAACACCTACTGGCCCTCCACCGTAATTTAACGAAAGGTTATGTTCGGTCAAGCTCGAACAACACCTACCGGCCCTCGGCTGCGATTTAATAAAAGGTTATTGTCACGACCCAAATCTCACATGTCGTGATAGTGCCTATCGAAATACTAAGCAAGCCGACAATCACAATAAATCACACATAAAAAAATCTCATAAATAATGATAAGAAAATACCGCGACTCAATACAATATCCCCCAAAATCATGATATCACTGAGTACATGAGCATCTATACAATAATATAGTCTGTATACTAAAATACTATTTAGGAAGGTAGAGTAACATAAATAAATTAAAAAGAAAAAGGAGGAGAGTCAAGGTCTGCGGATGCCAAAGCAGCTACCTCGACAGTCTTCGAAATGATAAAGCTCTAAAATTAACAACCACCATGCTCGAAAATACCTGGATCTACATACGAAATGCAGAGTATAGTATGAGTACAACCGACCAATGTACTCAATAAGTAACAAGACTAAACTTTGGCCGAAAGTAGCGACGAGCTCAACCAATACTGTTAAAATATAGAATTTTAACAATACGGAAATGACTAGATATATGACAATAATATCTTAAAGTAACTCATAATCTATTGGTACACAGTACATGAATGTAGACATGCTTCCACATTTAATAGTTAAGCTCAATACAGATAAAATATGCCAAGTATGACTGATATAAGGAATATTACATCTCTATATCTACATGTCAATGTGCATGTCACATGTGATGCAACACAATGAAAATCTCACGTACTCACACTGGCAGAGTATTCAATCGGATTGTCTCAATTCTCTCTCATCACACTCAGTCACTTAGCACTGTACGATACCCACGCTCACTGCTGGTATGTCAGACTCTGGAGGGGCGGATCCTGACCAAGCGCTAATAAAACCTGATGCTGCGCGCAACCCGACCTCATCATGAATCAACAATACCTGCTGCGACGTGTAGCCCGATCCCATCATGAGTCAATAATACTTGTTGCGGCGTGCATCCCGATCCTATCATGAGTCAATAGTACCCGCTGCGATGCCTAACCCGATCGCATCAATATCACTCATAAAAGGCCCTCGGCCTCACTCAGTCATCAATCTCTCCAGTCTCTCGGGCTCACAACACTCATGCCAATCAACCAAAGTAATAATACATAATGTGACAATAAATGGTAATAGAGACTGAGATATGATATGCAATAATGAATGTGACTGAGTACATAACTGCAATTTAAGCAAATAACTCAACAACAAAAGAATAAC